CTTGACCATGCATCGTACGCTCCAATCGCTGAACGGACCAGCGGCAGCTGCGAATCTTCTATTGCGAGACAGATGATCGCCAGCGCCTTGTGTGACTTTCTCTTGAACGTCGATTGATCCATCACGTTGGTGCAGTGCTCCAGCTTGACTTCTCCACATGTGACCTCCCACAGGTCGCGCTCTTCCAGGACCATATGCATCTTGAACTTCCATGTGTGGAAGTTGGTCCCTTGGAACTTGTTGATGCGGGCGGTCGGCGTTGCGGCAGCGTCCATGGCAAAGACGTAGTCGGAGTCTTCGTTGGAGGAAACGGGGCTTGGTTTCATAACCTGAAGGCTAAGGCAGTCGAGCACTAGATGGTAAAATGCAAAGTGAATCTATTTAGGTCCTTAGTTCTCAAACTCTGTTGCTACTCTAAGCCTACAAGATTCCTCGACTATACGTTCCTAATCGCTACATCGCGCATTACTAATCGTATAGTCGCGCATTAGTAATCGCCACATCGCGCATTACTGATCGTCTAGTCGCGCATTACTAATCGTCTAGTCGTACGTTTCTAATTCTGGTCGTGCGTTTCTGAACACCCAAACGTACCGAAAATGGGGGACGTCACTGTCTGGCAGTACGGTGCTGGTGAACCCCAAACACCAGATCCCAAAGGCTTAATTTGTTGTTTGTACGCCCCCACCGGTATCGAACCAGTGACCTTTGGGATGGTACTGCCATACCAAACCGGCTAAGCTACAGAACACATTTCTGTCACATCATTCCGAGACGTCTCTTTTACAACACTCCCACTCGCCTCGGCAGGTCGTGGCGCCTTGATGCCCAACATGGTCCGAAGTTTCTGGAACTGTACGATGGTGATCGGCTTGGTCATTATATCGGCCTTCATGTCCTTGGTTGGGCAGTATTCTAGCACCACTTGTCCTTCAGCAACCTTTTCACGAACAAAATGGTAGCGAATGTCGATGTGCTTGGTGCGTTTGTGAAATTCTGGCCAATGCAATTGATCCTTGGTTATCCTCGGAGATCTTGACAGCTTGGTTACTTGTCATCTCACCAAGTTCGCACAGGAACACCCTCAACCAAACTGATTATTGTGTAGCCTCCGATAGCGCCATGGACTCTGCTTCCGTGATGATAGTGCCACCGTTCGTTGCTTCTTGCTCCTCCAGCTGATGCAACTGTTGTTCATGATGAAGGTGTATCCACTTGTACTGCGCCTTGAATCTATGTCGCCGGCCCAGTCTGCATCCGAGTAGACTTGAAGGATGTCGTCTTCACTTGCTTGAAACTCAATTCCGTGTGTCCTGGTACCATTTACATACCGAAAACCCCTCTTGAGTGCTTGCCAGTGTGTTGGACACGGATCGGAGGCAAACTGGATGAGCAATCCCACTGCAGCTGCAAGGTCGGGACGGGTGCCAACCATAAGGTAAATGAGGCATCCTAAGGCGTTCCGGTAGGGAAAATTTGCCATAGTTTCTTCATGCTTGCAACCTCCTTCGCACATGGCCTTGGTCAACTTCAGGCCTGGGTATTGTGGCGACCTGACTGAATTGCTATTCTCTCTGACGCGGAACACCCATCTGCGTCCGATAGTTTTCCGACCCTTAGGTAATTGCACCAACTGCCATGTCTTGTTCTTGCGGAGGGAGTCGATTTCGGAGTCGCACGCTTCCTTCCACTTGACCGCGTTGTTGGATTCCATCGCCGACTTAAACGTTTTCGGCATATCTCCCACTGAATCCACAACGTAGGCTGTCTCAAAGTCGTCCTCGACTTGTGCCACCGCCGACATGTTTTTGAGCAAAATTCTTTGACTCTGCCGCTTGGGAACCGGAATCTCCACAGCTTGTTCCAACGAAGGGGTTCGCGTGTGGCGCTTACTGCCGGGCTCCGTATCTTGGTCTTGCGCAGCGTCTTCTTCGTCAGGCTGAATTGGTACGGAAGGACATTCATGACCTGTACTCTCATCTTCTTGACTTTCAAAGACATCTTCTGCGTCTCTTTCGGTGCGTCTCCCACTGTCGAAGACGTCTTCCATGAATTTTCGTCGCGACTCACTAGAACACGACGGCTCTTGATCTCTTCAAAGCGATACGCTTTCTCGTGTTCAGAGTATCCTATGAAGCGGCAATAGACTGACTGCGCATCAAACTTGATGCGCTTTTGCTTCGGGACCGTCACGTATGCGTGACAACCGAACACCTTCAGATTTGAAAACAGCGGTTTCTTGCCGGTCCAGATTTGATGTGGCGACTTGTCTTGACTTGTGGCACGTGTTGGACATCGGTTTCGAAGAAATGTAGCGGTTACAACCGCTTCGCCCCAGTATTCCTTCGACAGTCCGGCATGCTCCATCATGCAGCGCGCGCATTCAACAAGCGTCCGGTTCATCCGTTCAGCAACTCCATTGAGCTGAGGAGTGTAAGGAGGCGTGAACTTTTGTACAATGCCACGACTGCTGCACAGCTTGGTCATCTCATGCGACTTGTAATCTCCGCCGTTGCCACTGCGAAGTAGCTTGACCCGGTTTCCTGTCTGAGTCTCTGCAAATACGACGAATTCGGCAAACTAGAAGCCACTTCAGACTTGTTCTTAAGCAAGAACACCACACTAAAGTGTGAATACTCGTCATTGAACGTGACAAAGTATCTGCTTCCACCGAGCGAAGCTGTTTGCATAGGACCACAGACATCGCTGTGGATGACTTCTAGCATCTTCTTTGCACTCTCTGGGGACTTTGGCATAAAGTTCACTCGAGTTTGTTTGCCAAGAGCACACCCTTGACACATCTCCCACTGTTGAACAGACGTGATGTTGATGCCGTTGCCGTAGCCCTTCTTGACAATGGAGTCTAGACCGTTATGGCCAATATGGCCAAGTCGAAGATGCCAGAGGTACGACCGGTTGGTTCCATTGAAACCGGTTGAACTTGACACATTTGCTTCATCTGACATGAGCGGGGTCATGCATAACTTGAATAAGCCCTTTCCCTTGCGCGTACCCAGCTGCCACTTCACACTCTTCGACTGAGCAAAGCACCCGTCACTTTCAAATGTGACGTGGCCAATGTCCTTCGTAAAACACCCCACAGAGAACAGGTTGCGCGTCAATTTGGGGATGTGCCACACACCAGTAAGCACACATTTCTTGACGCCGTGTTTTGTCCTCATTGACATGATGATGTCTCCCTTTCCCACTGCTTGTACCACGCCATCATCCGCCAAATGCACATCCACTGGCGAGATCTTCTGGTAGTTCTTCATGTACTCTTTTGAGTATGTCATGTGCTGAGTTGCACCTGAGTCGACCAGCCACTCTTCACTCAGCTTGATGTTATCTCCATCAACTAAAAACAGAAACTCGCCAGTGTCATCTTCGACCTGCGCGATGTTTGCTCGCTGCGGCCTTTGCCGCTCCGTATTCCCACGGATACGCACCGGACACTTGGCAATCCAATGTCCGTGCTCCCCACAGTAGTGACATGCACTGGCCTTCTGCACAGGCCGTCCTCTTTTTCGCTTGCTGTGATTGCTTGTCATGAACGCTTGACCTTGACCGTGCGCGGATCCGTCGACACCGCCACCTTGTTCCTTGCGCTTCATGTCTTCGTGCAGTAGTCGAGACGTCACCAGCTCCCACGTTAGCGTGTCCGCACGTGACTCTAACGCCGTGATCAAAAACTGGTACGAATCGCTTAGACTCCCAAGAAGCGTGATCACGAAGTCGTCCTCGCTAACCGGAGCACCCACAGCGTCGAGCTGCTCCGCTAGAGTCTTGATCTTGTTGATGTGCTCCAGCACATCATCACCTTCTTCCATCATAGTTGTGAAGAATCGACGACGAAGAAAGAGCTTGTTTGCCAGACTCTTCTTCTCGTAATGCCCTTCCAGCCTTGACCATGCATCGTACGCTCCAATCGCTGAACGGACCAGCGGCAGCTGCGAATCTTCTATTGCGAGACAGATGATCGCCAGCGCCTTGTGTGACTTTCTCTTGAACGTCGATTGATCCATCACGTTGGTGCAGTGCTCCAGCTTGACTTCTCCACATGTGACCTCCCACAGGTCGCGCTCTTCCAGGACCATCTGCATCTTGAACATCCATGCGTGGAAGTTGGTCCCGTCGAACTTGTTGATGCGGGCGGTCGGCGTTGCGGCAGCGTCCATGGCAAAGACGTAGTCGGAGTCTTCGTTGGAGGAAACGGGGCTTGGTTTCATAACCTGAAGGCTAAGGCAGTCGAGCACTAGATGGTAAAATGCAAAGTGAATCTATTTAGGTCCTTAGTTCTCAAAATCTGTTGCTACTCTAAGCCTACAAGATTCCTCGACTATACGTTCCTAATCGCTACATCGCGCATTACTAATCGTATAGTCGCGCATTAGTAATCGCCACATCGCGCATTACTGATCGTCTAGTCGCGCATTACTAATCGTCTAGTCGTACGTTTCTAATTCTGGTCGTGCGTTTCTGAACACCCAAACGTACCGAAAATGGGGGACGTCACTGTCTGGCAGTACGGTGCTGGTGAACCCCAAACACCAGATCCCAAAGGCTTAATTTGTTGTTTGTACGCCCCCACCGGTATCGAACCAGTGACCTTTGAGATGGTACTGCCATACCAAACCGGCTAAGCTACAGAACACATTTCTGTCACATCATTCCGAGACGTCTCTTTTACAACACTCCCACTCGCCTCGGCAGGTCGTGGCGACTTGATGCCCAACATGGTCCGAAGTTTCTGGAACTGTACGATGGTGATCGGCTTGGTCATTATATCGGCCTTCATGTCCTTGGTTGGGCAGTATTCTAGCACCACTTGTCCTTCAGCAACCTTTTCACGAACAAAATGGTAGCGAATGTCGATGTGCTTGGTGCGTTTGTGAAATTCTGGCCAATGCAATTGATCCTTGGTTATCCTCGGAGATCTTGACAGCTTGGTTACTTGTCATCTCACCAAGTTCGCACAGGAACACCCTCAACCAAACTGATTATTGTGTAGCCTCCGATAGCGCCATGGACTCTGCTTCCGTGATGATAGTGCCACCGTTCGTTGCTTCTTGCTCCTCCAGCTGATGCAACTGTTGTTCATGATGAAGGTGTATCCACTTGTACTGCGCCTTGAATCTATGTCGCCGGCCCAGTCTGCATCCGAGTAGACTTGAAGGATGTCGTCTTCACTTGCTTGAAACTCAATTCCGTGTGTCCTGGTACCATTTACATACCGAAAACCCCTCTTGAGTGCTTGCCAGTGTGTTGGACACGGATCGGAGGCAAACTGGATGAGCAATCCCACTGCAGCTGCAAGGTCGGGACGGGTGCCAACCATAAGGTAAATGAGGCATCCTAAGGCGTTCCGGTAGGGAAAATTTGCCATCGTTTCTGCATGATTGCAACCTCCTTCGCACATGGCCTTGGTCAACTTCAAGCCTGGGTATTGTGGCGACCTGACTGAATTGCTATTCTCTCTGACGCGGAACACCCATCTGCATCCGATAGTTTTCCGACCCTTAGGTAATTGCACCAACTGCCATGTCTTGTTCTTGCGGAGGGAGTCGATTTCGGAGTCGCACGCTTCCTTCCACTTGACCGCGTTGTTGGATTCCATCGCCGACTTAAACGTTTTCGGCATATCTCCCACTGAATCCACAACGTAGGCTGTCTCAAAGTCGTCCTCGACTTGTGCCACCGCCGACATGTTTTTTGAGCAAAATTCTTTGACTCTGCCGCTTGGGAACCGGAATCTCCACAGCTTGTTCCAACGAAGGGGTTCGCGTGTGGCGCTTACTGCCGGGCTCCGTATCTTGGTCTTGCGCAGCGTCTTCTTCGTCAGGCTGAATTGGTACGGAAGGACATTCATGACCTGTACTCTCATCTTCTTGACTTTCAAAGACATCTTCTGCGTCTCTTTTGGTGCGTCTCCCACTGTCGAAGACGTCTTCCATGAACTTGCGTCGCGACTCACTAGAACACGACGGCTCTTGATCTCTTCAAAGCGATACGCTTTCTCGTGTTCAGAGTATCCTATGAAGCGGCAATAGACTGACTGCGCATCAAACTTGATGCGCTTTTTGCTTCGGGACCGTCACGTATGCGTGACAACCGAACACCTTCAGATTTGAAAACAGCGGTTTCTTGCCGGTCCAGATTTGATGTGGCGACTTGTCTTGACTTGTGGCACGTGTTGGACATCGGTTTCGAAGAAATGTAGCGGTTACAACCGCTTCGCCCCAGTATTCCTTCGACAGTCCGGCATGCTCCATCATGCAGCGCGCGCATTCCACCAATGTCCTGTTCATCCGTTCTGCCACTCCGTTGAGTTGAGGTGTGTAGGGAGGCGTGAACTTTTGTACAATGCCACGACTGCTGCACAGCTTGGTCATCTCATGCGACTTGTAATCTCCGCCGTTGTCACTGCGAAGTAGCTTGACGCGGTTTCCTGTCTGAGTCTCTGCAAATACGACGAATTCGGCAAACTTAGAAGCCACTTCAGACTTGTTCTTAAGCAAGAACACCACACTAAAGTGTGAATACTCGTCATTGAACGTGACAAAGTATCTGCTTCCACCGAGCGAAGCTGTTTGCATAGGACCACACACATCGCTGTGGATGACTTCTAGCATCTTCTTTGCACTCTCTGGGGACTTTGGCATAAAGTTCACTCGAGTTTGTTTGCCAAGAGCACACCCTTGACACATCTCCCACTGTTGAACAGACGTGATGTTGATGCCGTTGCCGTAGCCCTTCTTGACAATGGAGTCTAGACCGTTATGGCCAATATGGCCAAGTCGAAGATGCCAGAGGTACGACCGGTTGGTTCCATTGAAACCGGTTGAACTTGACACATTTGCTTCATCTGACATGAGCGGGGTCATGCATAACTTGAATAAGCCCTTTCCCTTGCGCGTACCCAGCTGCCACTTCACACTCTTCGACTGAGCAAAGCACCCGTCACTTTCAAATGTGACGTGGCCAATGTCCTTCGTAAAACACCCCACAGAGAACAGGTTGCGCGTCAATTTGGGGATGTGCCACACACCAGTAAGCACACATTTCTTGACGCCGTGTTTTGTCCTCATTGACATGATGATGTCTCCCTTTCCCACTGCTTGTACCACGCCATCATCCGCCAAATGCACATCCACTGGCGAGATCTTCTGGTAGTTCTTCATGTACTCTTTTGAGTATGTCATGTGCTGAGTTGCACCTGAGTCGACCAGCCACTCTTCACTCAGCTTGATGTTATCTCCATCAACTGAAAACAGAAAGTCGCCAGAGTCTTCTTCAACCTGCGCGACGCTTGCTCTTTGCGACCTCTGCCGCTCCGCAATTTCACGGATCCTCACTGGACACTTGGCAATCCAATGTCCGTGCTCCCCACAGTAGTGACATGCACTGGCCTTCTGCACAGGCCGTCCTCTTTTTCGCTTGCTGTGATTGCTTGTCATGAACGCTTGACCTTGACCGTGCGCGGATCCGTCGACACCGCCACCTTGTTCCTTGCGCTTCATGTCTTCGTGCAGTAGTCGAGACGTCACCAGCTCCCACGTTAGCGTGTCCGCACGTGACTCTAACGCCGTGATCAAAAACTGGTACGAATCGCTTAGACTCCCAAGAAGCGTGATCACGAAGTCGTCCTCGCTAATCGGAGCACCCACAGCGTCGAGCTGCTCCGCTAGAGTCTTGATCTTGTTGATGTGCTCCAGCACATCATCACCTTCTTCCATCATAGTTGTGAAGAATCGACGACGAAGAAAGAGCTTGTTTGCCAGACTCTTCTTCTCGTAGTGTCCTTCCAGTCTTGACCATGCATCGTACGCTCCAATCGCTGAACGGACCAGCGGCAGCTGCGAATCTTCTATTGCGAGACAGATGATCGCCAGCGCCTTGTGTGACTTTCTCTTGAACGTCGATTGATCCATCACGTTGGTGCAGTGCTCCAGCTTGACTTCTCCACATGTGACCTCCCACAGGTCGCGCTCTTCCAGGACCATATGCATCTTGAACTTCCATGTGTGGAAGTTGGTCCCTTGGAACTTGTTGGTGCGGGCGGTCGGCGTTGCGGCAGCGTCCATGGCAAAGACGTAGTCGGAGTCTTCGTTGGAGGAAACGGGGCTTGGTTTCATAACCTGAAGGCTAAGGCAGTCGAGCACTAGATGGTAAAATGCAAAGTGAATCTATTTAGGTCCTTAGTTCTCAAAATCTGTTGCTACTCTAAGCCTACAAGATTCCTCGACTATACGTTCCTAATCGCTACATCGCGCATTACTAATCGTATAGTCGCGCATTAGTAATCGCCACATCGCGCATTACTGATCGTCTAGTCGCGCATTACTAATCGTCTAGTCGTACGTTTCTAATTCTGGTCGTGCGTTTCTGAACACCCAAACGTACCGAAAATGGGGGACGTCACTGTCTGGCAGTACGGTGCTGGTGAACCCCCAAACACCAGATCCCAAAGGCTTAATTTGTTGTTTGTACGCCCCCCACCGGTATCAACCGACAGTGACCTTTGAGATGGTACTGCCATACCAAACCGGCTAAGCTACAGAACACATTTCTGTCACATCATTCCGAGACGTCTCTTTTACAACACTCCCACTCGCCTCGGCAGGTCGTGGCGACTTGATGCCCAACATGGTCCGAAGTTTCTGGAACTGTACGATGGTGATCGGCTTGGTCATTATATCGGCCTTCATGTCCTTGGTTGGGCAGTATTCTAGCACCACTTGTCCTTCAGCAACCTTTTCACGAACAAAATGGTAGCGAATGTCGATGTGCTTGGTGCGTTTGTGAAATTCTGGCCAATGCAATTGATCCTTGGTTATCCTCGGAGATCTTGACAGCTTGGTTACTTGTCATCTCACCAAGTTCGCACAGGAACACCCTCAACCAAACTGATTATTGTGTAGCCTCCGATAGCGCCATGGACTCTGCTTCCGTGATGATAGTGCCACCGTTCGTTGCTTCTTGCTCCTCCAGCTGATGCAACTGTTGTTCATGATGAAGGTGTATCCACTTGTACTGCGCCTTGAATCTATGTCGCCGGCCCAGTCTGCATCCGAGTAGACTTGAAGGATGTCGTCTTCACTTGCTTGAAACTCAATTCCGTGTGTCCTGGTACCATTTACATACCGAAAACCCCTCTTGAGTGCTTGCCAGTGTGTTGGACACGGATCGGAGGCAAACTGGATGAGCAATCCCACTGCAGCTGCAAGGTCGGGACGGGTGCCAACCATAAGGTAAATGAGGCATCCTAAGGCGTTCCGGTAGGGAAAATTTGCCATCGTTTCTGCATGATTGCAACCTCCTTCGCACATGGCCTTGGTCAACTTCAAGCCTGGGTATTGTGGCGACCTGACTGAATTGCTATTCTCTCTGACGCGGAACACCCATCTGCATCCGATAGTTTTCCGACCCTTAGGTAATTGCACCAACTGCCATGTCTTGTTCTTGCGGAGGGAGTCGATTTCGGAGTCGCACGCTTCCTTCCACTTGACCGCGTTGTTGGATTCCATCGCCGACTTAAACGTTTTCGGCATATCTCCCACTGAATCCACAACGTAGGCTGTCTCAAAGTCGTCCTCGACTTGTGCCACCGCCGACATGTTTTTGAGCAAAATTCTTTGACTCTGCCGCTTGGGAACCGGAATCTCCACAGCTTGTTCCAACGAAGGGGTTCGCGTGTGGCGCTTACTGCCGGGCTCCGTATCTTGGTCTTGCGCAGCGTCTTCTTCGTCAGGCTGAATTGGTACGGAAGGACATTCATGACCTGTACTCTCATCTTCTTGACTTTCAAAGACATCTTCTGCGTCTCTTTTGGTGCGTCTCCCACTGTCGAAGACGTCTTCCATGAACTTGCGTCGCGACTCACTAGAACACGACGGCTCTTGATCTCTTCAAAGCGATACGCTTTCTCGTGTTCAGAGTATCCTATGAAGCGGCAATAGACTGACTGCGCATCAAACTTGATGCGCTTTTGCTTCGGGACCGTCACGTATGCGTGACAACCGAACACCTTCAGATTTGAAAACAGCGGTTTCTTGCCGGTCCAGATTTGATGTGGCGACTTGTCTTGACTTGTGGCACGTGTTGGACATCGGTTTTGAAGAAATGTAGCGGTTACAACCGCTTCGCCCCAGTATTCCTTCGACAGTCCGGCATGCTCCATCATGCAGCGCGCGCATTCAACAAGCGTCCGGTTCATCCGTTCAGCAACTCCATTGAGCTGAGGAGTGTAAGGAGGCGTGAACTTTTGTACAATGCCACGACTGCTGCACAGCTTGGTCATCTCATGCGACTTGTAATCTCCGCCGTTGTCACTGCGAAGTAGCTTGACGCGGTTTCCTGTCTGAGTCTCTGCAAATACGACGAATTCGGCAAACTTAGAAGCCACTTCAGACTTGTTCTTAAGCAAGAACACCACACTAAAGTGTGAATACTCGTCATTGAACGTGACAAAGTATCTGCTTCCACCGAGCGAAGCTGTTTGCATAGGACCACAGACATCGCTGTGGATGACTTCTAGCATCTTCTTTGCACTCTCTGGGGACTTTGGCATAAAGTTCACTCGAGTTTGTTTGCCAAGAGCACACCCTTGACACATCTCCCACTGTTGAACAGACGTGATGTTGATGCCGTTGCCGTAGCCCTTCTTGACAATGGAGTCTAGACCGTTATGGCCAATATGGCCAAGTCGAAGATGCCAGAGGTACGACCGGTTGGTCCCATTGAAACCGGTTGAACTTGACACATTTGCTTCATCTGACATGAGCGGGGTCATGCATAACTTGAATAAGCCCTTTCCCTTGCGCGTACCCAGCTGCCACTTCACACTCTTCGACTGAGCAAAGCACCCGTCACTTTCAAATGTGACGTGGCCAATGTCCTTCGTAAAACACCCCACAGAGAACAGGTTGCGCGTCAATTTGGGGATGTGCCACACACCAGTAAGCACACATTTCTTGACGCCGTGTTTTGTCCTCATTGACATGATGATGTCTCCCTTTCCCACTGCTTGTACCACGCCATCATCCGCCAAATGCACATCCACTGGCGAGATCTTCTGGTAGTTCTTCATGTACTCTTTTGAGTATGTCATGTGCTGAGTTGCACCTGAGTCGACCAGCCACTCTTCACTCAGCTTGATGTTATCTCCATCAACTAAAAACAGAAACTCGCCAGTGTCATCTTCGACCTGCGCGACGCTTGCTCTTTGCGACCTCTGCCGCTCCGCAATTTCACGGATCCTCACTGGACACTTGGCAATCCAATGTCCGTGCTCCCCACAGTAGTGACATGCACTGGCCTTCTGCACAGGCCGTCCTCTTTTTCGCTTGCTGTGATTGCTTGTCATGAACGCTTGACCTTGCGCTGATCCGTCGACACCGCCACCTTGTTCCTTGCGCTTCATGTCTTCGTGCAGTAGTCGAGACGTCACCAGCTCCCACGTTAGCGTGTCCGCACGTGACTCTAACGCCGTGATCAAAAACTGGTACGAATCGCTTAGACTCCCAAGAAGCGTGATCACGAAGTCGTCCTCGCTAATCGGAGCACCCACAGCGTCGAGCTGCTCCGCTAGAGTCTTGATCTTGTTGATGTGCTCCAGCACATCATCACCTTCTTCCATCATCGTTGTGAAGAAACGACGACGAAGAAAGAGCTTGTTTGCCAGACTCTTCTTCTCGAAGTGTCCTTCCAGTCTTGACCATGCATCATGCGCGCCACTAGCTGACCGGACCAATGGTAGCTGCGAGTCTTCTATTGCGAGACAGATGATTGCGAGCGCTTTGCGCGACTTCCTCTTGAACGTCGATTGATCCATCACGTTGGTGCAGTGCTCCAGCTTGACTTCTCCACATGTGACCTCCCACAGGTCGCGCTCTTCCAGGACCATCTGCATCTTGAACTTCCATGTGTGGAAGTTGGTCCCGTCGAACTTGTTGATGCGGGCGGTCGGCGTTGCGGCAGCGTCCATGGCAAAGACGTAGTCGGAGTCTTCGTTGGAGGAAACGGGGCTTGGTTTCATAACCTGAAGGCTAAGGCAGTCGAGCACTAGATGGTAAAATGCAAAGTGAATCTATTTAGGTCCTTAGTTCTCAAACTCTGTTGCTACTCTAAGCCTACAAGATTCCTCGACTATACGTTCCTAATCGCTACATCGCGCATTACTAATCGTATAGTCGCGCATTAGTAATCGCCACATCGCGCATTACTGATCGTCTAGTCGCGCATTACTAATCGTCTAGTCGTACGTTTCTAATTCTGGTCGTGCGTTTCTGAACACCCAAACGTACCGAAAATGGGGGACGTCACTGTCTGGCAGTACGGTGCTGGTGAACCCCAAACACCAGATCCCAAAGGCTTAATTTGTTGTTTGTACGCCCCCACCGGTATCGAACCAGTGACCTTTGGGATGGTACTGCCATACCAAACCGGCTAAGCTACAGAACACATTTCTGTCACATCATTCCGAGACGTCTCTTTTACAACACTCCCACTCGCCTCGGCAGGTCGTGGCGCCTTGATGCCCAACATGGTCCGAAGTTTCTGGAACTGTACGATGGTGATCGGCTTGGTCATTATATCGGCCTTCATGTCCTTGGTTGGGCAGTATTCTAGCACCACTTGTCCTTCAGCAACCTTTTCACGAACAAAATGGTAGCGAATGTCGATGTGCTTGGTGCGTTTGTGAAATTCTGGCCAATGCAATTGATCCTTGGTTATCCTCGGAGATCTTGACAGCTTGGTTACTTGTCATCTCACCAAGTTCGCACAGGAACACCCTCAACCAAACTGATTATTGTGTAGCCTCCGATAGCGCCATGGACTCTGCTTCCGTGATGATAGTGCCACCGTTCGTTGCTTCTTGCTCCTCCAGCTGATGCAACTGTTGTTCATGATGAAGGTGTATCCACTTGTACTGCGCCTTGAATCTATGTCGCCGGCCCAGTCTGCATCCGAGTAGACTTGAAGGATGTCGTCTTCACTTGCTTGAAACTCAATTCCGTGTGTCCTGGTACCATTTACATACCGAAAACCCCTCTTGAGTGCTTGCCAGTGTGTTGGACACGGA